GTCCCTGCTGCTCTTCTGTTTCATTACTCTCTGTCGCCTCTTACGACACCCACCGGAAGATAGGCGATAGTGGATATTCTTACTCCGCCACTATACTGTTTTTCAATTATTAAACTTTAAAATAAACGTATTTTCAATTTTTTTTAAAGTGAAGACTACTTTAGAATCGTTGTGATATGAACTCGATGAAACGAAAAAGCGACACTAAAAAGAGACAAACATATTCACTTATAGGATCTAGTCTGCGAGAGAAAGAGAGAAAATACAGCATACACTGTTTCCTATTATCTCGCTTTCTTTTTTTGGAGGTGCACATCGGCACACATGTTTCGTCTATAACATTTTTATTATGTTTCTGTACATTGCACACGACAAAACAATTTCAAAATGTGCATTGCATGTGCCCAGGGTGGGTTTATACCTAATAATAATAAACCTGTATTACAGGTTCTGACTGTTCAGACTGCCGTACACCTGCTGAGTTACTTTGTAATTATGATTTTATCTATAATATCTTGTTTATTTGTTTTTCCTTTTCTTCTCATTAAAATCTGTACCTGCCGCAACGTTTCTCTTTTTCTCTCAAAGTTGACTGGCAGATAATGCTATTATGTCCGTCTCGCGTGTAGGACTCCTTATCTGCCTAATACCATAAATTAGAATTCAGTTGTCCCTAAATAACCTCAGAAATACTTTTTTGTCTGTTTTTTATACATGATATTATTAATGAATCAATAATTGTTTTCGTTAAACGCTTTTTCCTAAGAGCCAGAGAGAGTATCTAGATTGCTTGCTACGCAGTTATGTTGAACCTTTTCGTATTTTGTAATTTCTTACAGATATCCGGAGAAGCTTCTTAATATTCTTGAATGAGGCCCGACATTGTTAAATTTATAACAAGAAAATTTCACTAAAGTTAAATACTAATTTAAAGTTTCTTGAAAATTGTTCTTTCAAATTTTACGAAATTCACAAATCCTCTTTGTTAGGTACATCTTTCAAAGCACTTTATATATAAAAACGCAAAACACAAAGGCACTCAACCCACTCGTCCTTAACATTCGCATATCTAATGTAACGATTTATTCGGTAAGATCGAGGAAAAGGTCAGACCCAAGCATGAGATTCGAGAATTAATAACTGATTTGGTCAAATATTTGTTACCAGTTATTCAAATCTGAGGCCACATATTATTAGGTACTACATATAATTGAACAATCAAACGAGCTTACCTGTAAGCGAAGTTCGATTGAGATTATACCTTGTTGTCTCTGCGAAGACTGTATAATACTGTATGTTAGTATCGCTTCCTAACTCGGTGGCGTTACATAAGTAAAAAGTAACTTTAAATTTTCCGAACGCATCCTCTAGTTGCACCTCATTCGCGCCTCAATCTGTCAACTCATTTTAATTTAAAGCATAAGTCTGGTTCTATTTGGGACTGAGCCTGGTCTCATAGGGGATCGGTGGGTTCCATCGTCTTCGGAGAGACAACAAGGTATAATCTCAATCGAACTTCGCTTACAGGTAAGCTCGTTTGATTGTTCAATTATAGCCTTGTTGTCTCTCCTTGACGATGGAAATAACACTATATGTTAGATGTTCAAAGTCTCAGTACAGAATCAGACTTTAATTATAATTAAATTATAACAATAAAGGTTAAGAAGTTTTATTATTAATAATTATTATAATTACAATTAGTCATCAATATTAATATTTCTATAATGATGTCTTATATTTACGCGAACACTATACATGATTAAAATTACTTTTACGGATTTTATCGCGTTTATTTTTACTTTTTATTTACTTTTATTTTTTATTCCCGACGTTTCGGGCGCTTTCCAGCACCCATGGTCACGGGGGACTGAGATGACTGACGTCCCGATGTCATTGTTAAACCCGGAGTACCTTCAGCTTTTTTAATTATTGGTTATGGTCCGATCTATGCAAAATGAACTGACTATGTCCTGAGGTCTTGCAGTGGTATGCTTGGGTTTAGTTTTAATTTTATTGATTATAGGATCCCAAGCAGGTGGTAGTACCCAGCCTCCTTCTCTATTGAAATTAATATTTCTAAAAATAGCATTAGCATAAATTGTGTCCTTATTGTTCAAAATACGACGATTGTAGAATCTAGCAAAACAAATTGAATTTTCAGTCCAACAGCTGATTCTCTTATAATGTCTATTGATACACCCTTATGGAATGCTGCTGAAGTAAAAGCATGCCTTGTGCTATGAGCAGAAAAAATGTTCACATCTCCTCCACTTTCTTTTAAAATGTCTTTTACAAAGATTTAAATAGTTAGATGTGCCTTCACCTTGAAAACTGTGGCATTATTTTTAGATGTGTTTGTTTGCAAGACGCTGACGCGCGCACACTAATGCAATAGCGTCATCTCTTATTATCTTACAGAAATTGTGTATACGACTTTCTCTGTCGTACAAATGAGCAGTGATTGCGAATGAGTGAGCTCACTCATTTGACAATGGACACTTTTCGGAGTGGTCATACTATGGTAAGGGCGCATCTAACTATTTAAATCTTTGTTCTTTTATCCATCTGCTGATTGTACTTACTGATACCCCTAAATAAATTTTTTATGTTGCCTCTTATTTGTTCAGTTAACTTCAAATAATTAATCACTGCTCTAGCGGGACAAACATTAGGTTTTAAATCAAAAAAAAAAGGTAATACCAGCAATGGCTGCTGTCTGTAGGAGCCTGATGTTTTTAACAATTTGGAGATTGTAATACAAATTTTGTCATTCTCTATTTTTATTTTATCAATTTCCGCTGATGCTAAGGTTTGTGCTATTTGTCCTGTTGCTAGAGCAAACAGCATTGCTGTTTTCTTTGCTTGGAATTTTACATCTTTTGTATCCGTCTGATGAAGCTCTCAATGAAGGTAATTGAACACTTCTGATACATTCCAAGTGAATTGATATTTGGGATTATTTGGTCTCAACCTATAGAACCCTTTAAATAATCTTTTTATTTGATCATTTATTCCAATATAAGAACCTATCAATAACGGCAAGGCTGATCTTATGGAGTTAATGAGATATTCCATAAGACATACCGTCATCAAACTTTACTGTGAGATAAGTTATAATTTGTGAAATATTAGCAGTATTTGTACTAATATTGTTAGAGGAACAGTTTATAAGCCAGTCCCTGAGGTAAGGTAAGTACTGCCTAAGTGTATTTTTTAATACTGAATTCAACATAATGTTGGTGGCTTCCTCACCAATGCCTGCGCTTAAAAATTCCTTGCGGAGACCAGAACTGCCATCAAAGATAGGTTCTTGTGAAGAGAGTGCGGTGATCTGTAATTACACATGGTAAGTAATTTTTTATTGGATTGGAAAACAATAAAATCATTTACCAACATTTTCTTAAACAGTGGGAACCAGGGCTGTGTTGACCAGTAAGGTACAACAACTATGCCTTCCGTCTTATCTAAATTTATTTTTTCTAAAGTTTTTAATACTAGTGAAAATGGTGGAAAAGCGTAGAAGAAAAATTGGGACCAACATAATGTAAAAGCATCTACATTGATTGCATTTGGCTCTGGGTGCCACGACACATAATTTTTGCATTTAGCATTTGTTGGAGGCAAACAAATTTATTTCAGGTGTACCAAAGTTTTGCACTATTTTCCTATAATACATCTGCCCTAGCTCCCACTCAGACAGTGTGTCCAATATTTTTCCTTGATTGAAAATCAGCAGTGACATTATCTTTAGTGTTAATATATGATGCAAAAATCCAGAGGTTACTATCTTCACACCATTGCCAAATTTGCCTAGCAATATCATACAAGTGGGGGTATTGTATACCACCTAACCTGTTTATATAAGCTATTGCAGTAGTATTTATCTATTCGTAACAATATTTCAATATTTTTTAGATTCTTTGTGAAACTCTTTAGCCCGAATAAAGCAGCTTTTATTTCTAAAGTATTGATATGTAATTTTGATTCTTGTTCTGTCCAGGGTCCACTAGCTGGTTGTCCAGCACATGACACCCCAGAGCACCCCAACCCGTGTTGGAAGCATTAGTGTGTATTTCTAAAACAAAATCACTCTTTCTTATTGGGCTTGTAGAATATTTAACCTTTTCAGCCCACTATTTCAAATCCTGTTTGCAATGGTTTGGTAGTGAAATTTGTGTCTCATAGTTATTATTATATTTTAAAAGTGATAAGTATTTATGTCGCTCAAGTAGTTTTGTATATAACATACCATATTTAATTGCTGGACAGACAGATACTAGTGTTCCTAACACCTGAGCTAAAAATCTTATAGAAAATAATGGTTTCCTACTTAATTTTTTGATTAAGCGAAGGCAATTTTATGTATTGAAAACTAGTCCCAAGAATTTGCACTGGTGTGAGGGGGGTGAGACTACACTTACTGATATTGACTATAAATCCTAAATTAGTAAATAATTTTAGAGTTAATTGTATCTTTTCAACACATCATAACAATTACATGTTAATTTTAATAAAAAATTAATTTGTTGTTAAAATAAAAACGTAGGTATTTCCTATGATCTAACTTAATACTTATCATGTAATATGCATCCTTAATGTCAATTGTTGCCAAATAATCTTCTTTGTTAATTAATTTTAATACTGTACCATAATCATCTAATTTGAAATGATTCATTTTAACAAATATATTGAGTTCCTTTAGATTTAATATAAATCTAAAATCTCCATTTGGTTTTATAACTAAAAATATTGGAGAACAAAATTGGTCATGCACTGGTTCACAAGTCTCTATAGCCTGTATAGACAACAACTTATTAATTTCTATTTTTAATTGACTTAACTCAGTTAATGAAAAATTATTATTTAAGAAAAAATTATTTTGTATAGGTATGTGTTTAAATGGAATTGAATATCCCAATTGAGTATGACAGGTTCATTAGTCAATCTTTGCCAATTATTTATATAATATTGCAGTCTTCCTACCTGTGGTGTAGGAACCTCTAATAGCGTCGAGGAGGCAGTGGTTTCTGTTGTTGTTGCTGCTTGTTTTTGGGTTTGGTTACGCTCTCCCCACCCCCCAGCCTGGTGCTCAACTGAGGAGAGCCCAGCCAGTTTAAAGTCTTTGTTTGCCCCTTAAGTCGCTCTTGTTTTTCTTTAAGATCTTTTCCAGATCTCTGTATAATTCTTGCATTCTTTATTCTTTCGGCTAAGTTTGTTCCGAATAAGAACATATCTGAGTCACTCTTTAGAGTCTCTTTAAGGTTGTGATTTACTGCATTAGTAATTAAAATTTTTCTACTATTGGTCTCTGATTGAAAATAATCACATAATAGTTTGGATGCATCATTTATATTATGGACTATTTCTATTTTGTCGCCGTTCTTTAATATGGACTCGAAACCAGATCCAATAGCAGTCAATACTGCAGCAATTTGTTTTTATTTTTCTTTAATAATTGTATCCCTTTTTAGCATGGATGCTGAAATTGCTGAGATACATTCAGGATTCAAAGTTGGTTCTATTAATCTTGGTAAATTTTCGAATGGTATATATTTTTGCATAAGCTCTCTCTTATCTTCCTTTTTCAGGCCTTTGCTCAGAATGGGTGTCCATTTGTTTGCAATTTCAGGGTGAAGAGGTGGACCTTTTTCCTGTTCTATTTTTATTTCACCCAGAACTGCTAATGCCTCAGCATCCAAATCATGTACCTCTGGAACTTTATCAGGCTGATTTCCTGATTCGCTAGTAGAGGCCTGGCTATTTAGATTTCCCAGAATCTGCAATTCTGATTGAGGTGATTCAGATTCCTCATTTTTTTCTTTTTCTATTAAGATATCATTTTCCATCTATTCTGGCCAAGATACCTCTGAATCGGATTCAGATGTCACTGTTAAGAAACAGAACACAAATTACCTTAATGTTTATACATTCTTTATGAAAATTTAGGGACCATGTCTAATATTAGACTTCGGTTTAAATAAATTTATTGCTCATAAGAACATACAATGGTTCACTTAAAATGAGATACAAAGTAATTATATACTAAAGTAAAACTATCGCATCTACTTCTAGTGCTGGAGGTGTTATAGTTTTGAGCTTATTTACTGAGATAATAGATTAAGATTATTTACTATGTCAGAAAAGATTACACTGTACGTACGTATTTCCTAAGTTTACTTTTAAACAATTTTATGTTATTGCAATTTTTTATGTCATCTGGTAGTTTATTGAACAGCTGTGCTCCCTCAAACAACAAAGTTTTTTTGCCATAATTAGTTCGTGTAGTTATTAATTGTAGTTTGTTTTTACTTCTTAAGTTGAGTGTTGTTTTTTTTTTATGTAATTGTATGTTTGATTGAATAGAATTAGTGGTAATGTTTTTTATTAGAATGCAAGTGCAATAAATGTATAGTTGTGTAAGGTTTAGCAAGTTAGTTTTTTCGTATAGTACTTTTGTTGGCGTTAGATAATGATAGTGGAATAATGTTTTGATAATTTTATTTTGTGTCCTTTGAAGTGGATTTAGATTTGTTTTAGCAGCTGATCCCCATATCTCAATTAGATATTCGATATGTGATTTAACTAAAGAGTTATATATGATTGTACGAACCTTTTCCTGGATACAGTTTGCGACTTTACGTAGTGCACATAGTAATGACGTCAGTTTTGATTTGACGTGATCGATACGCATTCTCCAAGTGAGTTTATCATCTACCAATAGACCTAGATATTTTTCCTGAGTTGAACGTTTTATTATTTTATCTTCAATAGTAAGATGTGCAAACTCTGGTAAAGGTTTATTCTTTGTAGAAAAAAATCATGAAAGATGTTTTTGACATATTAATTGTTAGCAAGTTATATTTTAACCATTCTCCGAGTAATTCAAGATCTTTTTGAGCATAGGTTATATTGTTTTGAATAGATTTATCGAAATAGAAGAGACATGTGTCGTCGGCATATAATGTTAGGTGACCTGTTAGCCCTAATTTGTTTATATTATTTATATAGATTAAAAACAATAATGGACTTATAATTGAGCCTTGAGGACAGCCGTAGGATACGTTTTTAATCGAGCTGGTAAAATTATCCATTTGAACAACTTGTCGCCTATTATGTAAAAACGATGTAAACATTTCGAGGGCCTTGCCTGTAACGCCTATGTTGTTTAGTTTCTGCAACAATTTATGATGGCTTACTGTGTCAAATGCTTTTTTTATGTCAATAAAAATCCCTAAAGCGATATTCTTTTGATCGATTTGAGTTTTAATTTTTGTGATTAAGTCTACTGCAGCTGTCAGAGTGCTCGATTTGGAACGAAAGCCATATTGTTGGTCAATTAAAAACTTCATTTTTATTAGGTATTCATTTAGGCGGTTATAAAGTATTCGTTCAAATATCTTTGATATAACAGACAAGACAGAGATTGGTCTGTAGTTACTTGGGTCAGTCCTACTTCCGGATTTAAAAATAGGACTGACCTTAGCAATTGTAAGTGTGTCGGGAAAAACACCGCGTGTCAAACACATATTTATGCAGTTCGTTAGCCTCTCTACAATTATAATTTTCAGACATTTAATCGCTTTGGTGCTGATGCCACCTAGACCAGTACTAGTGTTGGTATCAAGATCGTCGATTATTTTTGATACTTCAGTGATATTACAGGGTGTAAGTTCACTAAGTGTTATTTCATGCGTGTAGTTAAGTTCGTACATAAGCGTGTTATCGCTGTTTATGTGATACTTATTAGGAATTTTGTTAGCCAAGTCCGAACCTATTGAGGAGAAAAATGAGTTAAATAAGTCACATATTGAATTACCTTCTGTTATTAGTACAGTATTCGATATTAGTTTGGGAGGAGCACTGCTGTCTCTAATTTAGTTTAACGCTAAGTTATTAATTATCTCCCACATTTTCTTAGGTTTATTGTAATTGTTATGAAATAACTTATGATAGTAGATTTCCTTGTGTGTCTTGATAAGGTTTTTCACTTTGTTCTGCTCTTTAATTAAGTTTTTTTGTAGATTATCGTCTTTTGGGTGAGATTTAGTCTGCTGCCATAAGTTGTTTCGTAAATCTCGGCTTATCCAGTCTTTTTTGTGGAGGGTTAAGAATTTTTGTCTTGCTTACTTTATTTTTGTTTATTTGTTCTAACATAAATCTCTCTAGGTAGTAATAGTCATTTTCTTCATTAGTGTATTTGGCTTTTAAAGTAGTGTAACTTTTCGTAATCAAGCGCCATATATTGAACTCTTTTATATGTCTTTGTTGTTAAGTTGCTTATTTCAAGAAATATCTGCTTATGATCAGATAGGCACGATTCAATTATTGAGAAACTAAATGAGTGATTGTTTATATTCGTATATACATGGTCCAGTATAGTGCTTGTGGTGGTGGTTTCACGAGTACTGTACAGCCTATTAATTTTATTCAATATTTCATATCCAATTTCTTTTATTTCAGCTAGGTATTTTGTGACGTTACTATCTGTATTAAGTAGATCAATGTTAAAATCTCCAAACACAATCGCCCTTCTCCTCCGTTCCAAATGTGAGGAATATGTTTCTAAAAAGTTGTTTACATTAGAACTTCCAGGTTTGTATATTGCACCGATGTTTAAAGATAGTTTATCTATGTATATCCATAAGTAGTGGTTTCCATTTTCACACAATTCTTCCGTTATATCGTATTTTATGCTATTATGTACGTAAATTGAAACGCCACCACCTTTGTAATTTTGTCTATAATTGTAAATATGTTTATAGTTTGTTATCTGATATAATTTTGCGTCGGTTTCCGAAGTAATCCATGTGTCAGTAAAAAATTTTCAGACTTTATGTATGTTTTAATGGTTCTAGGCTCTGCAGCCGTAGTAACCTGATATTGACTTTAGGGTGACCCTGGGTTCTAGGCTCTGCAACCGTAGCAACCATTAGCCTCATGTAAAATCTTTTTGTTTTTGTAGATCTTGGCTCTACAGCCGTAGCAACTACAATAGCTTGGTCCAATAAGTATATATATATACAGCAATAGCTACCAATGAATTACACACTTTACTTCTTATAAAGCAACCTGTTTAATATACCAATTCAAAAGATATATTCTATAGATAGGTTCCTATTTATTATTATACTACTTCAAACAATACTATTTTATATGAGATGAGGTATAATATTGTTCAATGTATTAAACGGACTTCCTGCGCGGAGAGGTGAACACACAAAACAAAACATCTTAAGACGACACATCGAAAACGCTATCGCCGTACTGATCCGAGTGAATACAGAATTTCTATAAAAACTTGAAGAAACGCCGTCATAAGTTCTAAAATTGCGTAGCGCCCGCGACGATTAAAAGCGCTTAGAAATTGTCAGAATCTTAAAATATTTTAAAAACAATTATTGATTTAAGTTATCACAATAATGAGCAAGCAAATTATGAATATTGATGTTATGAATATATTTGAGTGATTCCCAAACGTATAGGTCAAATGATTTCGTTGTGATTTCAACTTAGTGATTTTTTAGAGGTGTTTTCGCAAATAATTATGATCGAGTCAAAATTATACAATCGTGTTTTTGAGCTATCAAATTCAAGATAAAGATATGAATTTACCTATATCAAAATCCCACTTTCGTTAGTGGTGTCATAGTCCTATACTATTCGATGAAAGGAGGTGCATTTTTCCACGGTGTCGCCTTAACAGATAATTGTTTGAATTGCGTTGTAATGCGTTATGCGTCATAACGGAGAAAAGGTAGTGACAAGTTAGTATTTCACCTCGGCTGATTTTGGGTAGGAAAGCACGTTAATAATAATAATATGTCTATGCATTATTAGATAATGCTAGTTAATACAGTTTTATATATGCAATAATAAGCTATAGGTACTTACGGCCCTGCTGTTTCGAAAGTTTTTTAACTTTTTTCATAAGTTTTCTTATTTTCTTTTTTATCTTGTCGTTTACTTCTATCTTTGTCACGTTTTCTTTTCATTTTAATAAGGAATTAAAGGAAAATGCCCCAGCTAAAAAACTTAATTCGCTGTTGAACGTAGACGTAGTAACGCCGTCCGACATAAAAACCGAATGAGTTGACAGATTGAGGCGCGAATGAGGTGCAACTAGAGGATGCGTTCAGAAATTTTAAAGTTACTTTTAACTTATGTAACGCCACTTAATGTGTATCCACGTTAGAGTATTATTATATTATTGTCATACCCGCGATAGTATTTTTTTATTGAATTAGCGTGACAAACGAGCGCACAGTCCACCTAATGGTAAGTGGATGCAGTGACCTATAGAGATCTAAATTTACCCTCAATTAGGAATAAAAATGCAGATGCGTTGACATCCCTGAGGACTAGGTTCTATACACTCACCATACGAAACACATCAGCATTAATTAGCAATTTACTGAGGAGTTATCATTACTAGTGGTGACAGAGGCAAACATTTACGACAATGAGCCATCACTATACCACATGGCGGGGTACAATCTATTTGCAAACACGAGGGAGACTAAAAGAGGAGGGGGTGTGATTATTTATGCTAAGGAATATCTTAGTTTCAGCCCAAAACCCTAACGAGTTCACTGGAAGGACCTTATGGTAAACTCACTGTTGACCACTCTATGCTTAATATAATTGCAGTCTACAGACCACCAAAAACGAATAGGTCGTTATTCGTTGATGAAATGGAGCAGATGATTATGAAGATCCCAGCGAGCGAGGATATTATCATATTAGGTGACGTCAACATAAACCTGTTAGGAGTGAGTGAAAATCAACTGGTGTCAAAATATAAGGACTGCCTGTGTGGACACAGTGTCTAATACCGGTTACGGAGGTG